ATGACCTGTAGCTCTTGCAGCACGCGCGGCACGCAGGTCTCGGGGATCTTGATGCCTGCGGACCGCGCACGGCGACAGCGGGTCAGGCCCTCCGGTGTGGCGCCCGCCTCCCCAGCCCCAGCCCCAGCCCGCCGCCGGCGCGCGCCTGCTCACCAACTTGCTTCTTCTTGTCCTTGGTCTTGAGGCGTACGATCTGCAGGTAGCTGCTGCTGGTGACTTCGGCCATGACGGCGGCGATGCGGCCCCACACGCGCAGCAGCGCCCCGCACAGCATGTAGTGGTGCCGCAGCCGCAGGCCCTGCACGCAGTCCTTGCCCTCCTGCACCAGCCTGCACTGCCGGTTCCTGCGGGCGGACGCGGCTTAGACACGCCCCCGTCCCCGCAGGCTCCGCCCCACACCTGGGGCCTCTGTCCAGCTCTCAGTACCGCTCATCTCTTAGGTCCTGGCTGTGGTGGCACCTCCTTGGGGATCCGGGGACAACCCCAGATGCCCCACGGGAACCCTTCCCTGTGCGGTGTGTGGGTACCATCCCTCAGAGAGGGGCCCAGAAGAGATGGGCGGGACTGTGGGGGGGGCAAGATGGGGGGCACCCGGCACCCGCTCCCAGCCAGCCCCAGCCCTTACCAAGCAGTGTGGCTGCAGTGCCTCAGTGACAAGGTGTAGCTGGTCTCCCAGGGCTCCCTGGCCTCCTCTGCCGTCACCTGGGGAGACAGAGCCACAAGACCCGGGATGAGCAGCCCATCCCTGCTTCCAGTGCACTAGTGGAAAAACTGAGGCCCCAAGCGCCTCAGGCCCGCTCAGCCTGCACCTGGCAACCCCATCCTGGCAGCCGGCAAGGCTGGGCATGGACCGCTGGTTTGGAGGCTGCAGAAGCCCCGCCAGGGAGGGCCTGCGGTGGGGGCAACTAAAGAAATAGGGCTCGCGTGCCCCGGGCGTGGGCATCCTGGGGCCTCCCTGCCTGCCTCTTCCCCCGACCTGCCCCTACCCGGTGGAACTTCCGGCACAGGCTGTCGAAGGTCTCCTGCTGGCTCTGCCGGCCGATGTTGGGCTTGTACACGGTGAAGAACTTGCCATGGTTCTGCTCGGCCAGCAGACAGCTCGGCTGGTTGCCACGAACCTGAGTGGGAAGGGGCGGGGTGTGTGAGGTCGGGCCTGCGCTGTGCTTCTTGGGTGGAGGTCTCCACTGCGCATGTGCGCAAGAGGGGGCCAGGCTGGACACCACATAGCCACCCCGCCTCCCAGAGCCCTTTCCCCTTCCCCAAGCCTGGGGTCCTCCCCCAGAGACACCCACCTTGTAGGAGAGGTAGAAGCCGTCATGGGGGCCAGTCAGCTCCAGCGACCTGGTGTAAGCCTCCTCCCACTTCAGGCCGCGGTCCACGCTGATCTGCCACGGCACATGGACGTTAGGGGCCTGGGTGGGATGGGTGGGCGCGGTGCGGGGAGCCAGTACCACTCACCTTGTAGAAGACGATCTGCCCATCCTGAGGGTGTCCAGGGGCCAGAAACACCTGCTGGCTCTCCTCATAGATCTCGTCGATGCCTGGAGCCAGGTCTGGGGAGAGGATGCTGGGGTGAGTGGGATCCTGCCCGGTGGGGCACAGCTCCTCGGTCCCGGGTCTCAGCACACCCGAGGCCTGGTGCGGTTTGGTGGACTCCAGGTTCTGGGCTCAGGGGGGCTGTCAATCCCCGGCACTGCAGAGTGGGGATTCCCCAAGAAGAGGCCCAGCCCCGACCTTGCCCAGCAGCTGGTGGCCTGGGTCCCAACCCCGCTTTGCCAGCCATTCATGCCAGACGCGACCACACAGTGTGCCCTTTGGTGCTCCTCTCTGCATGGCTGCCCTGGGGACAGTCAAGTAGCAGTCAGCTGATTTTCTAAATTGAGTTTTACTGGCTGAGACCTCTGGCCCTTGGTGTTCTTGGCGAGCATGGCGGATAGGCCCTGCCCCCCACCGGCACTTACCCAGAATGCCCATGTCGTATTTGCCCTCCCTCTTGTCCACCTCGATGAGGTGGTCGAAGGTGTCGGAGAAGTACTGGAACAGCGCGTTCTGCTTGTGCACCTCCAGGCCCAGGATGCGGTTGAGGAACTTGGTGATGGAGCAGTCTGGAGGAGCGGGAGGGACGTCAGGCTGCATCAGGCCCTGCCTGTCCCGACCGGGGCCCAGGGGGATGGGTGTGCGGGACTCACCCTTCTCCACATCCAGGCAGCCAGACCGGGACTCCCGCCCGCCGATGCCAACTGACAGCAGGCCCTGCTTCATGTCTGCGGGAAGGAGGGCTTTCGCACGTGTGCCTGGCCCCGGCCCGCCCGAGGTCCCCTTGCCACCGGTGCCTCCCTGGTGACTGTGTGTCGGCGATATCTCGGGACACAAATCCAGTCTGCCCATCCCAGTGCCTCAACCACTCCCGCAGGAAGACCGCCCCACGCGCCTCGCGCCCAGCTCACCGCGGAAGAAGGCAGCGTCCCCTCCGGGGTAACCCTGGGGCAGGGGCACCTTGTTCTCCATCTGGTTCAGAATGGTGGCGAGGACACAGCTGAGGGCCCGGGCGCCATACTGAACAGAGGGGCGAGGTCAGAGGCTGGACTCGCGGACCGGGGTCCCTCTTCTCCCAGCCCGTCTGCCCCGAGTACCTTGTTCTCAAAGTTGTACTTGCTCAGGTCGCGGGACTCGGTGGCTCTGCGGTCCCCGTGCGTCAGGGCCCCCTGCCGGGATGGGAGCGTCACACATTGCCCGCGTCCCTCGCTCCCCTCCTCGGCCGCCCCAGCCCCCCTCGCTCACCAAGCTTTCCAGCCGCTTGGCAACGATGGAGGCGAACCTGCGCTCCCCCGCCAGCTCTGAGATCAGGAAGATGTATTCGGGCGCTGAGACCTGGTTGGACCGATGGGTCCGGCCTAGAGACAAAGAAGACTCTCAGGGAACAGGTGGTCCAGACGGGCAGGGGCGGGGTCAAGGTGAGAAGGGCGGGGCCTCCTGGGGTGGGCGGGGCTCACCGAACTGCTGAATGGCACGGTCTGCACTCCAGGGC